CTGCGTATTCCTCTGACACAAACCTAATCATGCCAGTTGTCACTATTTCGAGACAATTAAACAATTATGCATTTAATATCCCAATTGACAATAGATTATTAAATCAACTCATTATCCTGATCCAAGATAATCAATTAATTGAATAACCATAAGCACCACAATCAGGGAATATGCAAATACCAATAAATAAGGGGACAAGATAAAATTAAATCGATTTCACAATTTTTAAATGAACTAAATCCTCCATTGTTTCTTGACTAGAAAAGAGAATTTAGTTCATCCCGGATAAAAAAGACCCACACCAAGTTGAAGCAACAATTGCAGCCATCGTCCTTGCTCGCAAAGATCGCAAAGATTCAATTCGATCGAATGAATGAAAGAAAAACAAGAAACTACAGAGAATGATTCAATTCTTCAGAAGGCATCCTGACATGTGAGGGGACAAACTACTGAGAGCCCCACTAGAGAACGAAGTCGAAAAAGTCAAAAAGCTAATCTACCAAGTACTACTACTTCTCTGCTATTTCCAATTTCTATCTAATTCCTACTTCTACCTATCTCCCTACTGTGCGGCGTCCTCCAGGCCGAAAAAGAAGACTCCCATGCTCTACTTGAATGCTGTCTCCCGCAATTACCAAAAAGGGGTCTAGTCCATATTCCAAGAATGCCCCTGGAGTAATTAAGCCCTGCTGAAGTATTCTCCCCTTTTTGACCGCTGCCAATATTCTTTCTTGATAACTGTCAAATTGATATCTTTTTATGGTATTTATATTCCACTCCCTGTAACAAATACGAATTGTCAAAAATAAGTAAAATTTGATAATTAATCCACATCGAATCAGGTAATAGAAAAAATTAATTATAAAATAAATAATAAAATTACAATCTATCAACGGCTTTATCTCTTGCCTGCACTGATGGAATTGTTATTAATTTATTTATTTTGTTGGGGAGTAAAAAAAATTATTATTACCGTAATTTACTGCTTCAGTAATCAAACTCAGAGACAGTATATTTTTCTATTCCTAATCAAAAGTAAAAACTTCCTGGTTTGACATATTAACTCTCCAGGATCCGGAGGCGACAAGGACTGCTACATCCAAGGAAAGAAAATAAGGTTGAGTCTCTTATTAGTGCCATTATCCAGGCTGCCTGGAGACGGCTTTATCTCTTGCCACGAATATGGTTTGGTAAGGGAGTAAAATGAGTTTCGTATGCTAACATTATCATATTTTACTGCATCATTTATCAAAGTACTTTGCTTAATTTTTTATTTTTTTTTTGCATAATGGTATATATAATCTAGTCTAACATACTGCTAGAACCGACAAGAACTGAATCACTCACTATCAGACTAGACAGGTGCACCACACACCCGTATGGGTTTATAAGAAGCCACATATATAGTAGTACATTGATGGGAGGTAAGATTTGAACTCTTGATCTTCCACCTCATAATTTATGTGGTAGCCAACTCCTCTGGAGGAAGTGTTGATTAAGTACTTTGCTTAATGTGTTCAGCATTTCAAGGTGAAAGATCAATAATTGTCAGAGACAACTGTACAAAACAGTATCTATTTACACATTTTTCCTTAATAATTATTTTCTTTTTGTCGACACTATAGTTCTGTGTTATAACTATTCCTACTCTATACTAGGGGGAAAAGAATCTAAAGAGGTCAACGGAAATCTGGTGAATCACCATCGATCCAAATGGATGCCTACGCAGCCACCGGTGAATTATATAATTTTCACTTAGTAATTACATATATCAGTTTTTTTAAACTCCAGAATGTTAGGTGACTAAATTTGGACAAAAAGTACGAGAAAGGGTGGACATAGTGCTGCAGTGAGTTCAGCTTAGTCGAGCTATTCATCAGCAGCTTGCTCAATCATTGTTTGAATTCAAGCCCGGCTTTAACTAAGCTCAAGCAAGTCGAATAACTTGACAAGTTTAAACTCATTTATATGTGTTTGTGTGCGCGTGAAGCTCGAATGCTTATCTTAGCACAGCAAAGGACAGGCAAAGCATATTTATATCGAATAGATTTATGTATTGTAAACTTTAAACGTATGGACACTGATAAAAAGAAAAATAAATTAATGCATGTTGACGTCGTAAATTCACTGTTTGTTATCAATGCCTCTACGTATGAATATATATAGTTACTCAAAGAAGACAGCCACAGCAGGCTTTCTTGTTTCATTACTATTACTACTTTGATTATTGAGTCTTCCATAAAATTTCATCTGCTTCCTACAGTTTTTTGTTTCATCTTTGTTAGTCAATTGCATCACCTGCCTGTAATCTTGGTTCAAAAAAGTCCATCATATATTACCGTTTGATCAAGTACAAAAAGGCTTCCTAGATTTTACACTGATATCAAGAGTTCAAGACTAGTGTAGAAAAGATTGGATATGGCTGAAGCCGCTGTTTCTCTGGTGATTGACAAGCTGAGCAACCTCTTGATTCAGCAAACCATTCAGCAGATCGTATTCCTCAAAAATGTTCCTGGACAAATTGAACGACTGAAAACACTGCTGATCGACATTCAGTGCTTCTTGAAGTTTGCAGATGAACAACAAGATGATAACCCAATGATCGGCAACTGGGTGTCTAAACTTAGAGATGCAGCTTATGAATCTGAGGATGTCATTGAGACGTTTATTGTTAAGATGCAGGCCTTAAAGAAGAAGGGCTTCTTGAAAAATTTGTCTTGCTTTCCCAAACGGTTATTATGTCTCTGCAAGGTGGGGAAGAACATTGAATCCATCCAGAAAAAGATGCTCGATATTGAGAAAAGTCGCCTGACTTTTGGTATTGATCAAATTCTTGGAGAAGGGACGAGCACAAGAGGAGAGGAGCTGCGGAAATTGCTGAGATCCTCACCTTTCACCGAGGACAAGGATTTGGTGGGCCTGGAGGAAAAAACAAACTCGCTGGTTGCACAACTTCTGGTGCAGGACAGCAGCCGCTGTGTAATATCAATTGTTGGTATGGCAGGAGTTGGCAAAACAACTCTTGCCAGAAAAGTTTACAATCATGTTGACGTGATTGGATATTTTAATTGCCGCGCTTGGGTTTATGTTTCTCAGAAGTGCAGTGCCCAGGAAGTACTGGTGGGAATCATAAAGCAAGTTGAAAAACAAACCAAGGAATCACTTGAGTTGTTGGAAGGAATGCAAGAGGCAGATCTGGAGAGGACGGTTCAGGAGAAACTCCAAGACAAATGTTACCTTGTAGTTCTTGACGATATCTGGGAAGAAGAAGCTTGGGATTCTCTGGCAGCAGCATTTCCTAATGTAAATAATGGCAGCAGACTTGTAATGACTAGTCGCTATGAGAAGGTTCCTCAGCATGCAGATGATCTAAGCAAACCTTATAAGTTGGAAATCTTGGGAGAGGAAGATGGCTGGCAATTGTTTCTCAAGAAGGCACATGCTCATAGTTTGAACTCAGAATCCAAGTTGTCCCCAGAGCTAGTACGCATCGGAAGGGAAATCGTTGAAAAATGTGGTGGTCTTCCTCTGGCAATTTCAGTCATAGGGCGCCACTTACGGGGAAAAAGAACCTTGGAGAGTGAGTGGAAAAGCGTGCTGGACACTCTCACCTCCCATTGGTCAAGGGGCCGGAAAGGAGTTTCAGCTGTTTTGGCATCAAGTTACAACGACCTTCCACCTGATCTCAAGACTTGTTTCTTGTCCTTTGCTATCTTTCCAGAAGACTTTGTCATCCCAACACGTAAGTTGGTCCATATGTGGATCGCTGAGGGCTTAATTCATCAAAAAGGAGAAGAAGTATTGGAGGATGTAGCAGCAGATCGTTTGGATGAGTTGATATACAGGAACTTGGTCCAGGAGGTAGCAGTGACGGCTAATGGGATGGTCAAAAGTTGTCGAGTCCATGATCTATTGCGTGATTTAGCTGTTGAAAAAGCAAAGGAGGTAATGTTTCTTAAAATCTTTGAAGAAAGTAGTAGTTATCCCTCATCTAAATGCCGGCATCTTGTTGTTAATTCTTGCTGTGAGAGACTAAACTATCCTGGAGAATTTGAGCATTCAACCCCTCCTCTTCGTTCCTTGATCTTCTTCAATCTTGCTGAAGTTGAACACGAGTTTAATTTGAGTTTTGTAGTGTTCAAATTACTTAGAGTTCTTGACCTGCAAAATATGAATATCTCATGTCTACCTGACGAAATTGGTGAACTTAGTCTTCTAACGTATCTTTGTTTAAGATACACGAGGATCGAAAGGCTTCCACTCTCTCTAGGTTGCTTGCAAAATCTGCAAACGCTTGACATATATACTTTCACCTCAGCAGTGGAGTTCCCCAATGTTTTATGGATGCTTAAAAATCTCCGGCATTTATATGTTCGCGAAACAACTAAACGTGTACCACTGAAGTTTGATACTTTGAAGAATCTCCAAACTCTGTGTGATGTATATCTAGATACTCTGATTGGTAACAAGATAACGCTGTTAACCAGCATGAGGAAATTGGGCGTGTGGATAGAAAGAAGCTCAAGAATTGATGAACTTTTTAGTTCAATTGCTAAGCTTGAGAACCTTGTCTGGCTGGTATTGAAAAGGTATGGAGAAGAGGGGTTTCCATCTTTGATTGGCCTTTCCCACCTTAATTATGTCAAACGGCTAAAGATATCTGGCAGGTTGACTGAGCTACCTAGCCCTCATAATTTTCCCCCAAGACTCTCTCATTTGTCGTTGCGTGCCACAAGACTTGCAGAAGACCCCATGCCAACACTGGAGAAGTTAGAACACCTTTCCATTCTGAAACTGAAAAATGCCTACGCGGGAAAAGAACTAGTTATTTCAGAAAACCAGTTTCCCAATCTCACAGTCCTTCAGCTTGAGCACCTGCCTAATTTGATTGAGATCAAAATCGGAAGAGGGGCAATACCACAGCTCAGGTGCTTGCGAATCAGCAACTGCTACTTTGTAGAAATGCTTCCTGAAGAGCTGCGGTTCATGGAAGCTCTTGAAAAGGAGGAGGTAGAGGACATGCCAAAAAGATTCATCACTAGGCTTCATGGAATGGATTCATACAAGGTCAGTCATGTCCCAAACATTATCGTGACCGGCACTCTTGACCCTACAATGTTGGGAGGGAAGCTCGTGGCTCGAAGGTTCGCAGACGCGTTCGTAACAAGGGGCAAGAGAACTTCATAGCTGGAGTCAAAATTTCCAATTCCAAGTGAACTTCGCGTTTAAATTTTTTTTTTTTGTTCAATAAACAATCAATGCATATGTAGATATGTAGTTTCTATTGCTCTGATTATTTCTGCTGCTGCTTTTGTATTATTGCTTCTAAGCTAACGATGCTTTGGTGATAAAGGAGTTAGTATTACTTTTTGTTCCTTAGTTGATTTTGAGAATCACAAGTTTTGAGAAATGGTCCATTTTCTATTAATAGGAATCAGTCAAATGATTGGCTTATTCTTGCTCCTATGTTACAATCATGTTTTATCTTTTTTATTTTTTTAAGTAGAAGTTTCAACTCAGGTCGATTTGCTAGAAAAAAAACACCTAGGTTAATTTAAGTATGGTTATGAATGAAAAAGCTCCTGGTACAAGTAGCAAACATTTTTATATATGTCATGTGGCAATCGATTTTTGAGTGAGTATTTTGTACACTATTAGTGTACATTTTTTTTATAATAATAGGTTTAGATTATTTTATATAATATGTATTCAAATTTGAAATTCAAATAATGCATATATGGCAAATATCCATTCCTATTAATGTAAAAAAATCACTACATTGTCAGTACATAAAAAGTTGATTCTTTATTTTTTTGCTTCATATAGCTTTTCTGGTTGTTGGAGAATAAATGATCTAAGTTATAGGATTACATGTAATTTTGCTCAATGATAGATCATATGCATTTTTTGTGTTCTTTGGAATCTTACCTCAATTTTCTTACATTATCTCACTACATTGGATCAATGGCGAAAGTAAAAAATCAGTTTTTTTTTGTGTGTAATTATGATTTCTTACAAAAAGTTGAAGTACTCTTTTTTTTTGGGGTAAATCATGAACAGGACCTTGGAACAAGAGTGGCGAAGGGTTATAATTTTTCAGAGTGTCCAAGCCATGGCAACAGCAAATATTGTGCGAGAAAGAATATTGAAGTTCTCATGATTCACAAAAGCACATTGGTAATGTGTGGAGCAGGCAAATACTTAATTTTCATATTGCGAAACAATTAAATGTTTGTGTAAGCAAGTTTACAAAAGAAAAGGTGTGTAAATGGATTTGAAGTTTGGTAGAATCTTATAAAAAACTAAGTATGAGTTGCATGTGAAATTTTCATGTTGTGAAATTTCTTGAGTATTTGAGTGTATTAAGTACAAAATTCTTTGTTCTTTATCCAATGTCCGAAATCTTTCCGTATATAACACTTGTGGCATGGGTTTAGTGTTAAAATCTTTTGTCATCTTTTTTTTCAATTTTACCTTTATAAAAGTAAAGATTTACTAAAGTTAACTGCTAAAATTCAGTAACTTCTAATAACTTCCAATAACCTTTTCTGCGGTTTACAAAAAAAGAAAAAAAATCATAACTTTTTTTTTTTTTTTTGCAACAAAAAAATAAAACTGCAAATAACTTGCACTGCTTTGAAAAAAAAATGAACAACTTAATTTTTTTACCTTAAGTTGCATACCCATAAGGTGTGTCCCTTTGTACCTAGATGCTCAAGATATGAAGAACTTTTCAGTTATATTGCCATGCTTGAAAGCCTAATGTTCTCCCTGAAATTGTCGACGTTTGCTGGAGAAGAGGGTTTCCTCCGTTGATTGGCCTTTCACATCTCAATAAATTTAGAAAGATAAAGTTATGTGGAACATCCTAAATGCCAGCATCTCGTTGTTCATTCTTGCTCTGAAAGATTTAACTATCCTCAAAGACTTGGCTAGTTTTGTCGTTTGCTGGAGAGAATCTTGATCTTCTTTAATCTTGCGGAAGCTGAACATGAATTTAATTTGAGTTTTGCAAGAATCAAACTACTGAAGAGGGCTTGACCTGGAAAATATGAACATATTGTATTTACCTGAAGAAATTGGTGAACTTCGTCTTCTAAAGAAGTATCTTTGTTTAAGATCAAAAGGCATCCACTCTCTCTAGGTTGCTTCCAAAATCTACAAATGCTTGACATATACATTTTCGACTTAGTGGAGGTCCCCAATATGCCATGGAAGGTTAAAAATCTGGGCATTAATTTATTCGTGCAACAAATAATAAAAGTTTACCACTGAAGTTTGATGCTCTGAAGAATCTCCGAACTCTGTGTAATGTGCATTTAAATACTCTGATTGATAACAAACTAGCGCTGCCAATTAGCTAGCATTAGGAAATTGGGTGCACGGATCGAAGGAAGATCAAGAATTGATGAACTTCTTAGTTCAATTGCTAACTAAGCTTGAGAACCTAATTGTCTCCCCTGGTATTATTGATGGATGAAGAAGAGGGGTTTCCATCTTTGATTGGCCATTCCCATCTCAATTATGTCAAACGTTTAAAGTTGTCTGGCAGGTTGTCTGACTTACCTGGCGCTCATAATTTCCCCCCAAGACTCTTATCATTCGACGCTGCTTGCCACAGATCTTGCAGAAAACCCCATTCCAACACTGGAGAAGTTAGGAACACCTTTTCCACTCTGAAACTAAAATAATGCCAATGCAGGAAAAGAACTAGTAACTTCAGAAAACCAGTGTCACAACCTCACATTCCTTCAGCTTGACGAGCTGCCTGCCTAATTTGATAGAGATCAAAATCAGAAAAGGAGCAATGCCGCAGGTCGGGCTCTTGCGGATCAGCAAGTGCTAGTCTTTGGAAATGCTTCCTGAAGAGTTGGAAGTTCATGAAAGCTCTTGAAAAGCTAGAGGTTGTTGACATGCCAAAAGAATCCTTCATTAGGATTCAAGGAATAGATTCGTACAAGGTCAGTCATGTCTCAAACATTATCCTGACCGGCATTCTTGAACCTCAAATGTTGCTTATAGCTTGAAGATTCGGAGAGCTGTCAATTGAAGCAGGTTTGGGAACTTTATAGCTGCACTTTTCAAATGAACTACAACTGAATTTCATTTCTTTAGAGCTCAATTGCGTTTTTTGTATTCTTCACCGGCCTGGATTCAAAATTTCTAATTCCAAGTTAACTCCACATTTTATTTTTTTTTTCAATTAAAATTCAACGCATATGTAGATACATAATCTCTGTTTGTTTTTTATTATTTCTGCTACTAGTTAATTTGTTCAAGTTCTACTATTAGTTAATTTTTTTCCCAATTAAAAATCAACGCATATGTAGATACATAATCTTTGTTTGTTTGATTACTATTACATAATCTCTGTTTGTTTGATTACTTCAATTTTAAAACACTTTAAAATATCACAAGAATCAGATTTATTTTCCAAAAAAAATATACCTAAAGTTTTCCTGCTAAAGTCGTCAAATCAGTCTTAATGTGGGCCTCCTTCCCCCCTACAAAGGATCTAAGAGATCTCGAGAAGACAACTGAGAGAAGTAATCCGAACAATCAATTTGGGGCTCCTTGGGACTTGGCTCAGAATCTGAGTTCCGTATTTGGACTCCTACAATGAGCATTCCACAATTTAGAAACTTAATAAACTCTATTTCACCCCTTTTTTTTTGGGGGGAGGGGAGGAAATGAGCCAATAAGCCAATACAAGAAAAACTTTAAGAATCAAAAACCTTTTCAGACACTATGCAAGGCTGCTACTCTCATTAAAAGGCTCTGGTGCCATCCAATGGAGGGTGCCACGGACACCACCTAAGTGTATCTGACATTTTACCTCTGACAATCCCAAATCAGTGAAATCACCAACCTACAACAGAAAAGGAAAATGTTGCAGTCTAATTATCGCAATGGCTACTAAAAGGTATCAAGATAATTAGGAGAGCAGACACGAAACCTGAATCATGTCAGTGAAGGGGAAAAAATGGAAGAAAATGTCGAAGCTAATGTTAATCAATACGGGATCACATAGTTGATGATAAGATGAAGTAATTTAAAGACTTGAGGTAATAGCAGAAATTGACAGACAACTGATGCCCAATTTTCTTGCCTTACCGTTCATCATAGTCCATTGAAATTTCCTTGAAAAGTAAAACCAAGATATGGTTGTTTCAGAATCTTGCCTCTGTTGCTTGCGGAGTCCAAGTTCATTCAAAGCACATCTTATCTTATCTTACTATAAGATAAGCAAAGGCCAAAAGTTACTATTGCAGCTTCTCTTGCTGATACGTGGCACTATGGATGAATTTTGAGTTTTCTCTTTTGCTTTCTCTATGGATTTGGTATTACCTTGCAGATTTGGTATTGCTTTATAAGGTTAACTAAAGGAATAAGATCCTTCGCTTATGCTTATAAGGTTGAAATACTTTTAATAGACTTTTCAAACTGTAAATTTTTGAAAGATATAATTCAATTGAAGTATCATTTACATGATTATTTCAAATTATATTTGATAAATTAACTTAAGTTTTAATCGGATTACAACGTTATTATCATTATTATTATTTGAATTTATATTTAGATTTATTTCAATATAAATTATCATTTAAAGTTATATTTGACAAATTAAGTTGCAATTGTTAAAAATCATCGAATTGCATGAATTTTTTTCAAATTGTTATATTGTTTGATATTTTGTTATTTTGTTAATGTAACGAAAAAGATCATTTAAAACTAATTTCATCTTACTATAAAAGAAAAATATTATTACTGCTGCATAATGTAGTGTGCATTTTTCTGTTTCAAGTTTATTTTAATTTGTTCATATTAAAATATTTGGTAGCATTTCACTTTATGTTCATGTATTTTTGTTATCAAATCTATTTTAATTGATTTATAGATTAATATGTGTTTTTTTATTACAGTTAATTTTCCCTTTCTTAATCAAAGGAATACATTAACGTCTAAATGACAAAAATATGTGTATCTCTATTATATTTCATTAAAATGCTCTTTGTTGTTTTCATGGTAACAGTTAAATTTGCATTTTTTCCCTTATTTTCAATGCTTTCAAATTATTAAATTATTCAATAAAGCTTATTTATTATAAGTTCTAATTTGGAGAGAAAAACATTTTTCCAAACTGATTGCATTATTAGATTATTCAACAAGTCAGCTTACATATTGCTTGACTCTCATATTTTTCCTCTGTTTTGCTTGTAATAAGTCATAAGTCAAATAATGTAATCATTCTTCAATTATTCAACTTTTTCTTAATTGCCTAATTAGATCAGATACTTACATTTTTCTTCAAAATTAGGTTGTCTTTCACACAAAAGTCAACCTTTTGATGAATTATCAATTGTATTTCATCTGTTTATAACCATTAGATTGAAAGAGAAAGTAATAGCTTAGTTTAGCTTTCATAGATTACCTTTTTAGATGAAATTATTATCAACAAACTAATTGAATAGTGCAGTATGCTATCAGCTTTTATTGTGCTTCATTTCCTTCTCATTCTCACATAGCAAAGAGAGTTTCCTTCACTTTCTTGTTTTCTCAGGTTTGGTAATACAATTTTTATTACTTTTTACTTTAGCAAATATATGAATTTATTTCTTGCTATAGTAACATATATTTTCTTTTACATGTTTTGTGTTTTCCTTTTGCAGCATTACTTTCAGTACTCAAATTTTTGTTTTGCCTTTCACTTTACTCCAAGTTAGTAACTTCACTTATAATTAGCATGCTTAATGTTTGATAAAATGGTGGTTAAGTTTCATTGATATTCAAAAGTTTCATGAGTAAACTATTACTACCTGCTTACTATTGAATTATATACACTGTGTAACTTATGATTGAAAACTCTAGCAATGAACGTTGAAACTGTGGAAATAAATATAAATTCAAATAATAATAATAATAATAATAATAATAATAAGAACAACAACAACAACAACAACATTATAATCCGATTAAAACTTAAGTTAATTTGTCAAATATAACTTGAAATAATCATGTAAATGGTATTCCAATTGAATTATATCCCTACAAAATCTACAAATTGAAAAGTTTATTAAATTATCTCAACTTTATATTATTGCATATAAATAAATGGATGTAATTTCAAAAACAGAAAAAAAATATTTAAAATTGAATCCGACTTATTACAAGACTAAGATTATTATTGCTGCCAAATGCACTGTACATTCTTCTCTTTCACTTTTATTCATTAATACATTAAATTATTTTAAAATATTTAGCACCAATTAAACCTATATAAACCAACTGGAATTGCCACCAAACATAATATACACTTTTCCTATCTATGCTCTTTATAATATATTTACACATAACACTCAACTTATAAACAATCCTTCAAATTTTATTACCCTTAAACACTTTAGGGCGGGCATTGGCTGTGCGTAGCACAGCTTGGCCTTACTAGTGTTCCATAGGTACACAACTTAGACAGACGCATACTTCAACTTGGATTTTCACAAAATATATATATATATAACTATAAACAAATATGTGTACATACATACATACATATATATATATATATATATTAATCATAATATATCAATTTTGCTCTATCTTCTTTCCATTAGATTGGATGCTTTCTGTCCAATTTTCAATTTAATTAGTCGCAACCATAGGGAGTTATAGTGTAGATTTTCAAACAAAAGGGAATTAAATTGAATATTTGGCAAAAGACAGGAAGTTTTCTGGTATTTTACCCTTAAAACAAGGAAAAGATGAGGATAAAATAAATAGCCTTAATGCTAAAATACTTGATTGGTATATTGAGATCCCATTTTAGCAAAAAAAAAAAAAAAAGTGAATATGCTAATGGATAAAAGTTTAAGTGACTATTAAATTTATTCATTATTTTTTGCTAGAAATTAAAAGAAAATACATATCATTGATCTAAAGTTGTTGAATATAAAACTTTGATTTCGAAACTATTAAAACACCTCTTAGTTAGTATATATATGTAATTAAACTAAAAATTCTATTAATTTAATATAATTTTACAACTTTTAGGATCCTATTAGGATCAACATCAATTTTATAAATGGATCAAAATGACTAAACTCATTATCAACTAATTATTTAATAGTATAAAATAATAATTACTTCTATTAGACCAAATTGATACTAACTATGCAAAAGAGAAAGAAGTATATGAGAAATTAGTGGCATAAATAAATGCTATAAAAAATAAAGAAAGAGCAAAAAGAAGTTTAATTGAAATTCCTATTACCCATTTTATATAAACTTATTCTAATTCGCATCTCGTTTCATTCGATAAATATCAATACCACTATCTAAATCGTATGAGACTAATCGACTATAATGATTCAAATTCCAAATATTGGAGACCAAAAATGCAAAGTCTCTCTTTTTTGTTACTATTGGTCAATGTTGAATTTTGGTCAATTGTCCTAAATATGCCTGACGTAAAAAACTTTGAGGACTAAATTTATTTTGGCTGAAATATTGGAGACCAGTTTGGTACACAGGCTAAACATTAAGGACTAAAACTACATTTTTTCCTAAATTTATACTATATTAATTACTTACTATAATGAACAAGTTATTCTGGAGTTTGGTCAACCAGCTTTATAGATTTCGAGTCGTTTGCCCTGTTGTATTGGCAACATTCATGCACTTTATCAATTCTGTCCACAGGAGTGGAGTTAACAATTCCTTTTTTTTCAAGTGTCATTTTGTGCCATATTTTGAAGCTGTAGATTCATATGCAACTGAGTTTTGAAGGATGTGCTAATTACCCTTGATAAATACATGTATCAACTTGTTTCTTGCGCTTGCATTTTCGTCCTTGAACAAACGCTTAGTTCTAATCTCATTCTATATGCCAAACTCTTTCATGCTACTAACCTATCAATTTAAAATTTTATTGATGTAGGCTTTCATTAAACCTGTTCGATTATAGTTTCAGTGATTCTGTTGGAATCTTTTCACACTTCACACTCTTGTCGCATCTCTTGATTCCAGGGCCCGATCTTTGCTAACACGTAGATTTTTGGCAAAACTCTCTTGGCATCTTTTCTCACTTCAAATGTGGTTATTTTGCAGCCAAAAGTTGTTTCTGCATTGAAGTCATGTCTAATCAATTATGACTACTTGTGGAAACATTGTAATAGTCCCAAATTAAACTAACTGCCAAACAATAAATAAATCTACAGTAAATAAATTATCCCAAATAATCAATCTACAGTTGTATTCCTATAAATAAACAAATAACTGCCAAATAAATTAAACTAACTTTGCCATTTGATCATTTTTTTAGTGAGAATATACTTTGATTTTGCTGTCAAACATTCTCTAATCTTGTCATATCCTAGAGCTATATTGCCATAATCCAGAAGTAAACTACTGATTGTAAGGATAGTGTAATCAACAAGCCTCAAGATCATCGCACCCTTTTTCTTTAGTGATATTTCGTTGCGTAAATTTTTGCACTTTAATGTGCAACATTCATCAACATTGTTTGCTCACATTCTCCTTGTGTTTGAGTTATATATCTTTCAGAATTAATGTGTAATGATGTTGTGGTTTTCTGACAAAGCTGATGGCTAGTTGGAACCAATGTTTTAAAAGATGAAAGCGTTGGCGGGACGTTTAATATCCGTCCCAATGGGGTGAAAGCCCCAAGGCATGAGGCATAAGCTCTATGAATTTTTATTTTTTTAAATATATATATATGATATATACTATAAAAATTCATTTGAAGATATAAATAAACATAATAAAATTATGGAAATTTATACGGATAAAGAATTGTTATTGTATAACTCTGACTAATAATTTAAGAAACATACATATTAATATTAGCTGCACAAAAAAAAAGAATAAATAACATTACAAAAATGTCAATCTTAAAAACAAACTAGTCACAACTTAACAGTCACCACATTATCAAGCACAACACATAAATTCAAGTAAACACAAACTTCAAAGTTTAATTGTTTCAATAAACACACTTAACTAGTATAAAAAATAAAATACCAAGTTAGCAACCATATTGCTTATAATACATAACAAGGAATAGTACCAATAATTAGAAACAAACTGACAAATAAAATGATACTACTCATCAATGTCAATATCATCCATGTCATCATCTTCATTTAGTGTATATACACTTGGTAATTTTCTTCTAATAGTGGTAGTTCTGAAATTTCCGTCACATTATAAGATCCAATCTATG